ATAAAAAAACAATTGTAATAGATTATTATAATTTTTTAACATTTTCCTTATTTTGTTATTTCCAAAAGATTCTTGAACAAAACTGAGTTCCTTTATTACTATACAACATGACATCGCATCACTAACATCCATCAACTTCAGTCCATTGTATCATCACTAAAATTCATTATCTTCAAGTCCATTGGATTGTATCACATGCTACCAATATTGTGCTAGTGTTGTGGGTGTGTGAGGGCTACATGAACATATCACATCCTTCAATTCATTTAAGATATAATACCTTGCTAGCTGTACCTATCTAAAAGCAATTATATCAATTGTTTGGATAAATCATTATTTTAATCTTTAATTTTATATATTACAATATCTTTTTATATTTATTGTTACTTTATTTATTTATTATTATTATTATTATATTATTATTATTATTTTATTTGAAATTTTGTTTTGTCTTTTTTCCATTATTATTATTATTATTATTATTATTATTATTATTATTATTAATGTGTATATGTTATTTGGAAAATGCTTCATTTATTCCTATCCCATCTCTACTTATCTCTACCTTCTAATCATTTTTCCAATTATTGTTTTTACTAATCATTTTACTTTTTACTAATCATTACTACTTTTAATTATTTTAATAATTAAATTATGATTACATAGTTATTATTAATAGTTGTTTAATATATAATTAGTTAATATTTATAAACCTCTATATATATATATATAGATATATATATATATATATATATATATATATATATATAAACTTATTAAATTAAGATATTTTATTTTATTGATTTTTATTTGTAAGATAATATTAATAAAATATTATTTATAGTTAACCAACAATTATATATATATATATATATATATATATATATATATATATAATATTATTACTCGTACTTTTGTATACTTAGGTAAAAAGCTATATGTTTTTTTAACGAACCTCCGTATACTTGGAGTTAATGGGAGCTATATATTTTGTATTCATTATAATCGTGTGACCTAATATCACAGGTTTTAATATTATTTATAAAATTGTTTTGGTGTAAATTGTATTATCCCTATGTTTGGTTTCTATTTTTTTAGTCGGGACCTATGATTTAATTTTATTTCTAGTTTAGAATTGATATGTTACTATTTAATTATTGTGTCATCAAAGAACTCCGTTTTTGTTTTTTAAGTCCATACTTTCTTGCCGCCAACGATGAAGGTATTTTTACTTTCATTTCTAGAATATTCATATTATAAAACTATTAATAATTTAATATCATGTATCAATTTGAGAACGTAGGAACAAAATTATAAACCTTAATTTAACAAGGTGACGATTTTGTAAATAAATGAAAAGAAACATGCAAACATGAAACATTAAAAAAATCACAGAGGTATTATAGTAACGATGACGTAAACTGATTGAATCGTTTTCATTACGGTCGTTCCCTCTCATTTTGTCATACTCCTCATTCCCGATAACTTCTTTATGCTCAAACCCTCGATATTATTTGGTCGATCATTAACATTTTAATTGATATTATTTCAAAAATATACGGTGACTTGACATTTTAGTTGATACTATTTTAAATATTTAAAAGATTTTCATTACGGGATAGTTTTTTAAGATTTCTAAACATTTTGGATTTAAATTTTATAATAAATTAAATTAATATTTTCATAGATAATAATAAATAAAAGCTAAAAGATGAGCATATATTTTTATCTTTATATTTCAAGTAAATAAAAAGTTATTAGAATTTAAAATGAAAGTAAAAAATATAAGGCTGTGTTTTGAAACTTTTATCTATGTTAAAGGATGTAAAAAAAACAATTGAACGCGTGTAACTGATGGGATTTGAATGCAGAGAAATCAAATCAATTTTCTAATGATTACAGTATTTATACACGAATTTATTGGCGCTGAACGCCCTTTAACTACTGTTGTATGTAAATATGGTACCGAAAACAATGTTACTTTTTAACTTTCCACCAAACAAATAATAATAAAAGGGGTTGAATAAATAAAATGAGGGTATGAATAATAGCTCCCTTTGGAAAATTATTCACATGTTGAATAATTGATGAAAATTATTTGTGTATTATTTATTTTGGGTTTACATTTTCATAATAAAAAATTAAATATCCTCCTAATCTCTCTCATAATCCTTTTTTTACTTAATCTAAAGAGTTAAAGAGTAGAAAAATTAGTATGAATATTTGATTTCTCTTTCATAACAGTACCAATAACAAAGGTAAATCAATAGCTACAAATTATTTAGGTATGAGAAATTAAATATCCTTTTATTTTTTGTTTCTACAAACCCTCCCATCCAATTAAATGATGATATGTCTCATTAGTATACTAAAATATCATTAAAATTCATTAAATGTTCATTAAATGTGACAAATGTCATCCTTTAATTGGGTAGGAGGATTGTTAGGAAAAAAATAGAAAGTTATTTAATTTTTCTTTAGGTATTAAACGATTTAAGAGCTTTCAATGTAAATTTATTCTCAAACCATGAACAAGCACCACTTACCAAATTTAATCCGGTAAAATACTACCTTTTTCTTATTTAATGCAAAACTATTTTTTGTAGATCTAAATCCTTAGGTGGATCGATAATTTGAAAATAATTTTAATTGAAATATTTTATTATTTGTAAATCTATACTTATCTATTGAGTTATTTGATACATAGACATTTATAGCAAAATATTGCCTACTTATTATATGTATCAAATATTTAAACATCTTTAAAGACCAATCACCGGTGCCATTTTTATCCTGATAGTTTTCTGATGTTAGAATTTGTGCAGTCGCATTTAGTGTTTATATAATTTTTAAGGAGTTAATATAATTACGAATATCAGATAATTATTCGAGTATTTTTCCTATTTCGGTATTCATAGGTCTCTAACATTTATCATTTTAAAGTTATATTCAATAATAATAATAATTATCAATCAACTAGTAATTTTTTATTAAGCAAATTTTTTTTATCCTGACATCATTGTATGATCGTTAATAAAATAAGGCGCAAGTATATGTCACAACTTCGAAGCGAATTCTAGTTAATGAGTGTTATCACACCCAAAAATTGTCACCTCACATGTCATGTCATTGTGGTGTTATAACACCAAATGGAGGAAATGGGCAAGTTATAACATCTTTAACTTTCCATGTCATCATTTTTTTTTCTTTTTTTTTCGGCTTTTCAATTTAATTTATTTTTGATTGTTTTTTTTTCATTATATTTTTTTAATCACATTGGATTAATGAAAAAAAAACGAAACATGCAATTTAACTAACTACTAGATTAACCATAACATTAAAAATTAAAAAACAAACAAACAAACAAAAAAAACACAATGTTGAAGGCAAAAAAAAAAAAAAAAACCAAACGTCCTAAAAAACTAAAACCGATCAACTAGTCACCCAAATATTGTCTTTCGATTTTCTCCTTCATCTTCCGGAGCACTAGTACTTCTCGTGATCCGATATTTGCTTTGCTGGTCTGGAGAATTGCTAAATCATTCGCCATTTGATCTTTCTCGACTTGCTTACGAAGAAACTCCAAGTGCTCACGTTGCACATCAACCTTTTGTTGGGCAATCATATTATGTTTGTCGAACTTTGCTTTCATTTCCGCCAACTCTTGTACCCTTCTATCAATTTCGTCCGCGTGACGCTGAGTACGTTTCGCTTTGTCGCGTCCGACCGGTCGGGGGGGAGGGGGGAGTCCATTTGCTGCTAAACATGTCGATATTTCGATATGGTTGTTTCTTCATAAGCATGTGGAATTTCTCGAGCACGACTTCCCAAAACCCAACTCTTCGCATATCATTTCCTATGGTTGGATTCTTTGAAGTCCCGCACCACGCCACCGCCAAATTTCATGAACAATTTCTGGTGGTGGTTGTGAGGGTGCTGGTTGTGTGGCTGTTTGTTGCATGGAACTGAAAGCACTGAAAAGGTTTTGTTGAAGATTTGGGTTTTGTTGCATGTAAGGGGATGTAGGAACTTGCTTTGGGGTGAGTTTGAGGTGAGGAGGTTCATATAACTTCCGTATTGTGCGAAACCCATCGAGATAGATGTGTTTGTGTTTGGAGGCGGGGTGTTCGGGTTTTGCTCCATAGTTGGTTGAAAGGAAAAATGAGTTTTTTTTAAAGTTAAAATTAGATTGAAGATGAGAAAAGAATGTTTGGTAAAATTTTTATGTTTGAGAGAGTATTTATAGATAAAATAAAAAAAGTTAAAATTTTTTTTACATGTTACACTTCAACAACAGTCGAAATTTTGACCGTTGAACGCATTATCAAATGTTACGACGGCAACGAAGGGCAACGAGTATCCTCATAACGGACAAAAACGAATAGGGGGTGTTTCGCGTGGTAACGACATTGAGGGGGCCGCCACGTTAGAATAACGGCTCTGGGGGTTGCCCACACCGTTCAGTCTTAAAATTGGACCTAGTTACTAAAGCTAAGCCCAAAACTAAGTTTAAGATATATAAGCCAAAATCAAGGTTCTAAAAAGCTCGCCATGGCGCTCCATGACTCCAAGGCTTGTACCTGCCGCCAAGCTTACCAAAACACCGTCTTAACTCATATATGTGTATAAAAATGAATAATAGTTAAAAATACATATAAAAATATTAATTATATACTGTACAAAATTGCCGCCTTATGTCACGCCTTACAAACAACGTGGCTCGCCAAGGCTCAGAAAAGCTTGAGGCTTGACATTGCCGCCAAGTCACGCCTTACGTTATTTAGAACCTTGGCCAAAATACAGTCTAGAGCCCCTTGTAAAATTTATATGGCACATTGTACTTCTCATTTGAGCTTCAGTTTTAAATATAAGGATATACAATCTTCAAACTCTATGAGTGCGTGAAAAGTCCAGTAGTCAACAACTTGTGCATTTCAGTTAGTTTTTAGATAGTCTGCAAAAGGTTGTCTATTTCTAATTTATGTTTTATCATATGACAGTCATCTAGTAGCTCGAGCGCTCTTTTCTTGACGGCTGCAGCTCAGAACATGTTATGTATAAAACTAGCTGACAGTTTAGGGGTGAAAATCAAAGACCCATGGATAACATGGTTCAAAGGTTCTTGTTTACCAGCCTTGGTTTCTCTTATGTTAACTCCACTCATCATCTACAAGATCTTTCCACCGGAGACCAAGCATACACCTAATGCTCCTATCTTGGCTCAAACCAAGCTTGAACAAATGGGTCCGGTTAAAAGGGACGAATGGATCATGTTAGGAACCATGCTCGTAACTGTTGCGTTATGGATTTCCGGGTATGTTAATTTTATTGCTCCATTATAATTCCCCAGTTTTGTAGCCTAGTTAGTTTTAGGATGATATCTTTCTGGTTTGGGAACATATCACTACATACCGGTATGGGTTAGAATTGCAAGAAACATCAATATATAGAGTAAATTACACGAATGGTCCCTATGGTTTGAGGTAATTTGCATGTTTGGTTCCTAACTTATTTTTTTTAACTTGGAAGGTCCCTACAGTTTGTTTTTGTTGCACGCTTGGTCACTATCTTACCTAAAAAGACTATTTTGCCGTTGATTTTTTAATTTATTTAAATAAAATGAGGTAGGTAAGGTAAGGTAAGGTAAGGTAAGATGATGTGGAAGTGGGGTTGGAAGTGTGTTTATTTAAATAAATTAAAAAATCAAGGGCAAAATAGTCTTCTTAGGTAAGACAGAGACCAAGCGCGCAACAAAAACAAACAGTAGGGACCTTACAAATTAAAAAAATAAATTAGAGAACAAACGTACAAATTACCCCAAACCATAAGGACCATTCGTGTAATTTACTCCAATATATAACTTTTTTGCTAGGACAAGTTTGGCAATTTGTTAATTCTAATTCTAATGTGATCGACCTTCCTTTTCGTTTTGTCATTTAGACTTTTAGACTATGTTATAGGAAACCAACCCAAGTGCCCTTTTCATAAAAAAAAAATTATTTTCATCCTTATCGGCATACACAACCTTTAATCGTATCCAATCTCAAGTTATGATATATATATATATATATATATATATATATATATATATATATATATATATATATATATATCTATATATATATATATATAGAAAAGTTAAATAGAGAACCATTTATTAATCAAGGAACCAATGAACCAATCCAAAGCGTCGGAATTTAAAGCTATCAACGGCAAAAGGAAGGGTTGTAAATTTTTATAATGGACGCACATGTACCGGATTATAACAAAACTCACTTCCTTTTTTTCATTTAAATTTTTTTTTATACCAAGTTGTTTATCAAAAAAAAAACCGAATATACCGTTGTTCACGATTTTTCGTCCTCTTTCCATAGAGATCTATGATGATATATAAAAAACGAATTTTTTTTTTCGAAAAAAACCCACTTAATTTTCTTAGTTTTTTCAATATTTAAGTTTATTTTTATAAAAAAAAAACTAATTATACCAAAAATATTATTTTTGTACTCTATTAATAAACATCAACAACGACTAAAAAAAAAAAACCCTCGAACAGTACAGATTCCCACTGTGAATCTAAACTGTAAATATTTCAATTTTTAACATTCACAATATGAAAAATCTCAAACAGTTCAGATTCATATTGTGAATCTGAATTACTATTATACACACTGTGAATCTGAGAAGGTTAAAAAAAAAAACTTCGATTAGTGTAGATTCACACTGTGAATCTAAACTGTAAATATTTCAAATTTTAACATTCACAATGTGAAAAAGCTCCGATCAGTTCAGATTCACACTGTGAATCTGACTTCTTATTATGCACACTGTGAATCTAAGGAGGTTCATAATGTGAATCTGAATAGGTTTACAATATGAATCTGAACAGGTTCACAATGTGAATCTAAACTGAAATAAAGTTTTTTTTTTTTTTTAACTTGAATATGAATCTATGTTTAAAAAGTATAAAAAATATGAATTTTGATATATTTATTAATTTTTTTCTATAAAAAAATAGACCTTAAATTTTTTTCATTAAAGAAAATGAAGTGGATTTTTTTCGAAAAAAAAAGTTCGTTTTTTATATATCATCATGGATCTCTATGGAAAGAGAACGAAAAATCGTGAACAACGGTATATTCGGTTTTTTTTTCGATAAAAAACATGGCCTAAAAAAAATTTAAACGAAAAAAAGTGGTGGGTTTTTTTGTGAAGGGTGGATTTTTTGGTATAATCCGGTGTGTGTGCGTTCAATGTAAAAGTATACATTTATTTCCTTGGCCATTGATCGTTATGATTTCCAACGCTCATGATTGGTTCATTGGTTCCTTGGTTAATTATGGTTCTCTATTGAACCTCACCCTATATATATATATATATATATATATATATATATATATATCTATATATATATATATATATATATATAAACTTAAAGAAAACCCTAAAAACCCTAAAAATGTATAAAAAATACTTTGAGATATTAATTTTTTTTTGACTTTACAAAATTAAAAATCGCTATTTTTTTATATAAAATCGCTGAAAAAATTATATATATATATATATATATATATATATATATAATTTTATAATGAAGTTTTGTCGTATTGATTATTTAATTTAGCAAGGTATAAACTATTCATTTTAAATATACAAAGAAATTAAAATTAAAATATAAAATTATGAATTTTGGGATTGAACTTTGAAATTGCCAATATTATTATTACTATTGAGAGAAAAAATTACAAAAAGTACAGTTGTATTTACGTGTTGTTTTATAGTTGTTGATTGAGTCGGTCTGAGTCGGACATCTAATTGAATCTGACCGACTAATAGAGTAAGAGACATATCATAGGAGCCAGAACCAAGTATTAGTTTTTAAATGTTATATCAAATAGTTTGGATCTAACAAATAGCTCCTTAAGTTTACTACAAAAATAGATAACCAATCCTTAAGTGACATGTGACAAATGGAGAAAAATCAATTTGGGCTCCCCAACATGGTCGTCGCCCCACCCTTTTTGATTTTTTTTTTCCCGAAATTTATTCATTTTTTATTTTATTATACATTGGTTGGCACTAACCAACAAAACCAATCTTATGTTGCTCATATGACATAGTGTTATCTTTTTTATTTTATTATACATTGGTTGGCAGTAACCAACAAAACCAATCTTATGTTGGTCATATGACATAGTGTTATGTATATGATTTATATTTTATATGTTTGTTTTTGGATGAAAGGTGTAGATCAACTAATGTTTCTTGAATTTATTTATATACACAGAGAGAATCTTGGCATTTCAAGTGTCGTTGCAGCAATGCTAGGTTTATCGATCCTTTTAATCCTCGGGGTCCTCACATGGGACGATTGCCTATGTGAAAAATCAGCATGGGACACATTGGCTTGGTTTGGGGTGCTCATTGGCATGGCAACTCAACTCACCGACTTAGGAGTCGTGCCCTGGATGTCAACTTGTGTGGCCAACTTTCTGAAATCTCTTTCAGTTGGATGGCATCTTGCACTTCTTCTCCTTCAAGCTGTTTATTTCTTCATTCATTATCTATTTGCCGGTCAAACAGCTCATGTTGGTGCATTGTACTCCGCATTCCTTTCAATGCATCTAACTGCTAAAGTCCCCGGAACTCTTTCGGCATTGACTTTGGCATACAATACAAATCTTTTTGGTGCACTCACACATTATAGTAGTGGTCAGGCTGCTGTATATTATGGAGGTATGTATCAAATTTTGGGTCTTCAATCTTCCTATAGTTTTAATGGAGAGTTTGTCGTAGGACATGACACAACAAGTTTGTATTATGTTGTGTTTGACATTCATTGGACTGAGACCATGACTTGTGTCAATTAGACAAAAATTGTACATTTCTATATTACATAAAAAGATAAAACAAGATGGGAGAAGGGCGGTTTCGATCATCCGTCTATGCAAAGACGTGAATGTCCTCGTCATCCTTATAATTGTAATTAGCCCTATAAAGCTATTATAGTAGTATGTAGTCCTATCAGGTCCAATCATATCTCATCCCATGTGACACATGCAGCATGTATTTGATATACTGGCCAAATTGGATTTCATGGAACTGGATAAGTGTTGTCCAGCTTCGCTTATAAGGATCTAGAGGGCATTTATGTTTTTTCACAGACAATAAAATTGAAAGAGAGTCATTGTCACACATTGTTTTATGTTTTTAGTTGGAAAAAGAAATTGCAATCTTTATCTCATTGTTTTATTATTTTAGATTGAAAAAAATACAATTTTTGTTTAATTGATTACAATAATAATAATAATAATAATAATAATAATTATTATTATTATTATTATATTATTATTATTATTATTATTTATCATATCTAGTAATGTTACTTCATATCATTTATGCAATGCATAGCAAACGGGAACTAAAATGAACAGGCTTCAATGATTGTTATGTTGTTTTGCAGCTGGGTATGTAAGACTTCCCGATGTCTTCAAGCTTGGGATTATCATGGCCATGATTAACATAATGATATGGGGACTAATAGGTACCCCGTGGTGGAAGATTTTGGGTCTTTATTGAGTTAGAATTATATTGATAGTATCTTAATATTCTAATGTTATAAGCATTTGTTTTTAAGAAGGAATGCTTATAATTGCTTGAATCCGATGTACATTTACTCCTTTTATCCGTCTAATTTTTCATAGTTTTATGTCATCGTCAATGATAGTATTATATTTTATATAGTTTTATTCTGATTATTATAGATACCCTTTAACATTTATGGTCAAACAAAGTACATCTCTTTCATTTTAAAAATATTACACGAGGTGAAAATTTATGGTGTATGATTTACTATAAAAAAGCTGGTGGATTCTGTTTGATCCAGGATCCAGAACTGTGAATAGAAGTCCGGTAGGTTTTGACTAAAAAAATCAAAGTGTGCAAGTCCTGTAGTGGTTTTTTGATAGATTGGTTGAGTGTGCTTTTGCTCTTCTTTTGGAGCACATATTGGAGTGGGGTTTAGATGTAAAACCCCTTTATTCCCTGGTCCACACAATACAAAACATTTACAATTTGTAAAGGGTAAAGTACAAGTTTGTATTCCACGACCTTTATAAGAAAAGCTTTTGAATTGGGTGTAGGATTTTGAGGCATGATGGTGTGTGTTCCATCTCCACTAGTGCAAGTGTAGTACAATATCTAGCTTTTTTTTTTCCTAACTTTTTTCCTTTATTTTCTTGTCTTTTTATGTTACCTTCTATATTCATTTTATGTGAGAATAGAAGATAAAAACTCTAGAATTGTGTTTGTTTTTAAAGTTAACTAACAAATCTGTTGTCAAAAAACACAAATAAAAAAAGGGTAAATATCACCTCTATATATCTCTTCCACTTGGTGCCGGTTTAAACATAAAAATATTAATCATAATATTACAAAATAAAAAACAAAACGTGTATGTGTATGTGGCTTTTGATACAAAAGAGGAGTTGTACCTTACTACACCTCTTCATCATGTATATAAATCAACAAAATGGTACTTTCTCTTTCCATCATTGAGATTCCGAGTCTTTTTTCTTTAATCGCCACTCACATTGCACTAAAGTAATTCATAGATAAATGGGTAGGGTAGGATGGTGCGTACGCTGAGGGTGAGGGTGGGGTGAAGCTAGGTTTACTCCATTAACCTATATCAATTTTTGCTAGCTGTGCTAGATTCTATGCACATATACTTTCACCCTATCAAAACAAAAAACAAAATTCCACTTCCTTTCCTATGTTTCTCCCAAAATCCCTTTGGTTGAAGAGTCAATTGAAGAAGAACAACAATCATAACTAATCATAAAAGACAGGGTTGTATAACAAAAATGAGAATAAACCAAAAGACATAATATTTGTATGGTTCTGTCAATATATTTATGTTTACGTATAAGAGAGTATTCTTATTTACAATATTGAAAATTATATTACAATACAATACCACTCTATTGAAACAATAGTATCAACCTTTATTTCTAGGCAAAACACAATATAAACCCTAGCTACAACTACGCCCCCATTCCACCAGCTAACAACTAACAGGCAGCCAGCTACAAGCTGAGCAAGCTAGCTATTAGGCGTCTATCTACTGGGCAACCAACCACTTATAATCCATGTACTGATCAGACAACTAAAGTCACATTTCACAATCTCCACCTTAACTTTAAGTAATATACCAAACTACATAAACCAAGAGCTTTTTGCTCTCTGTTGCCAATTCTTCCCGGGGACTTTGTAAGGTCAAACCTTATAATCTAATATGAAAAACCTATTGACACGCTGATCATCTATCAACATCAAATATGTTGTCTAGTCTTCATTAGTGCCTGCGTAAAGATTGCTTTTCTCCCACGATTTCCAAATTCTCAATCTTAGTGATTAAGATCTTATATATGTATAGTTTATTTTCAGTCCCTGATATGTAGGGATTTCCATAGATAGTTTATACTTTCTTGTATATATAGTTGTTTTAGGGTTTATTATAAAACTACGACTTTGTGCATATCTCTCTTTGTAAGAGAAAAGTTCTTAGTGAAAACCTTAATCGAAATCAGTTTTCGATTAAGACTTTGTGAAAACCTTCTTGTTCTATCGTTTAATTCATTGCTTGTTATTAACCCTAGCGATCCAACAACTGTATATGGCTCTCTAATAACTACAAACAATAACTACCTTCCTAAGTTCATCAAAACCAACCTTTGGATCTACATCCTTAAACAAGATTCTTTTTATCGATGCAAAAAACTTCACGTTGTGGAAAATCAAGGCTATGGCTGTTCTCGGATCCATGGACTATGATATGTTGGATATTGTCAAAAAAGGTCTCCATATTCCTATCTCTACTAAAGATGGTAAGAAGTTGATAAATCTAGACATTCGTGTTCGATTTGCTATTGGTAATCCATTGCCTTTAGAGATCTACCATCGTGTTCAAAACTGCTTATCATTAAAGGAGATGATGGATTGGCTGACAGTTACCTATGATTATGAAAAGAAAGATGAGTCATATGAACTATAGTATAAAAGGTTGATCGTTTCTCTGAAGAAACATAATCTGGATTCTAAGATGTTTTTGGTTGAAGAGGAGTATTTTGATGAAGAAATCAAGAGAAAGGATGTCCGTCTAATGGCAACCATTGGTGTGCCATTCACTGAAGAATTATCCAATAGCTCCATCACCTTTGAAGCTGACGTTTCTAAAGCTATTAGGGATTCCGTGGACCAGAGTTAGGAGTCATCTTCCTTGTATCATGTTAAGAATTTGTTGCTTACTCTAATAATGAAAAGATAATCCCTAAATACTGATATTTTACCCAGTGAGAAGTATATCTCCCTGGTGAGTTCTAAATTTAGAGAAGTATCTCTTACTAATCACGAACTCACCAGTGAAAGAAATGTTGCTCAAAAGATTTCTGAAAATTATCAAAACATTATTGTTAATTGGGTTCATTCTCACACTAAAACTGACAAAATAGTAAATGATCAAATTCTTCATCAGTATGAAAAGATAATCGATGGCCAAATCCAAGACGCTGTTGAAACGTTTGAAAAAATTGAAACAGAACCTTGATTTCCATCTATAAATGAGCTTTTTCAAGAATGCAAAATAAAATTTATTAGAAATGGTTTCGTAAATTATCAAGACCTAATAGACAAAAATTGTGTTACCAACACTAATGGTCTTACTTAACTGCGATTGATCCTTCAGTCCAACCCTTGACTGGGAGTATGTGAGCCCTAGTATTCCCACTTTTATTAGCTTTCGTATCTCTAATGGTGATATTCATGCTATTAATAATGCTATTCTTGATATCCCTGAATATACGACTAATAACTATGACATCGAATCCATGTCAGTACTTTCTGACATGATGAATCTAATTGTTCTTCATCAGAGTATCATGCCAATGATACCTTATATAGTATCACTGATAGTAGTTTATATTTTTCTAGAAAAAAAAAGAATTTTTAAAGGAAAAGAATGTGTTTCAAACATTTGGAAAACCAAGTCTAAAACTCATAAGCATGTTTTTGAAAGAAAAATTAAATTTGGTATTAGGAAGTGTTGTGGATATGATGACCCTTCTCATGAAGTCACTAAGTGTACATTTAAGGAAGGTTCAAAAAGAGTTGACAACATCCTTGTTAGAAATAAAAATGGATAAAAAGGGATTACTTATTAAATTCTCTCCCTGCCGAAGGCTATGCAATTTTTAATACCGCTAAATCCTCTACTGTTAAACCCATTGCAAAATTGGTTCATAAAGTGTTCTAATTTTTTATAAGTACTGCAGGGTTAAAGGCAAGTTTGGTATCTTGAAAGTGGATGCTCTAGGAATATGACAAGATATAAGTCACTCCTGGAAGATTATGTTAAGAAAGATGGCCATGTAGTCACCTACATAGATAATAGGGTATAGGATTAATCACCGTTCCTATACCCTCGGAATGATCGAACTGCCGAACCTCGTGTAACCCCCAAACTGTGTGAAAACCTCGAATCACATACGATACCCAACTGAACCTAAAGTACCGAAGTTAGGCGAAGAGGTGAGAAAAGAACAAAATGATGTCGCTATAGTACATAAAGTACATGGGAATTCAAAGAAACAGGAACAACTGTATAAGAATGATTGATTGAACCTTGTACAATTGTATAATGGTTTTTGAGTGTTTCTCTTCATACCCTGGGGTGTACGGCCATAAATACGATAAGACCTCAGATCATTCGGTAGAAAGAAAGGCCGGGATGTTTTCTACTCCAATTATAAATTGGGGATTTGATGCACTCCTGCGAGGTACGCTAAGAACTATTCTATCACTTCGATTTAAGACATATTTTAGTAACCTTATCAAGGCCTCTACTAACTTAATTGTCAGAGCGTTGTTCCGGGACCCCTCCCCGGACAACCAACTTACGAATTTGTGATTGTTTCTAGGTAATCCATCGTTATAAGAAGTTACTCAACTCTGCTAATATGGAGGATGGAACAAAAGGTACATCAAGTGGCGCCATCCATGGGACTCCGCTACAAATGGCCGCCATAAACACCTTAGCGGCTAATGCAAGTACCGTTACGAGAATGCAGAACCTGGAAGGTCCTGGAGAAACACCGCATATCACTACAGTAGAAACACCGCATGTTACTACGATGGTAAGACACCAAGACGCAACAATGGAGGTGTAGGTGAAGAAGGAAGGACGAATCAGCGAAAAAAAATGGTGGAAGAATGGGAGTTGGAGGAATTCGACGCATTTCAACGTTTCAAACCTTTAGACTCATGGATAACATGAGAAGGTTACAGAAAGAAAAACAACTCCACAAAGAAAAAGAGTAGGATCGGGTCACTGTCCACACAGATAAAACGAAGGATTCAGATGAAGAAGAAGAGGAAGTAAAGGAACACGGGAAAAGGTCAAGCAAAAAGGAAGAAACTTCTCATCATAGAAAATCCATAAAAGATGCTCAGAAGGACCAAGAAAAACCACGGGAAATAGTAGAAGCTAAACAATGTAACCGAGCCTTCCATAATCTGAACTTCCGATCACCATTCACAAATGAAATAAACGAAACTCCTATTCCTAAGGGTTGAAAGGGCCAAGAGTTTCGACGTATGACGAAACGGGTGACCCAACTGACCATGTCTCCAACTTCTAGTGGGCCATTAATATGATCCCAATGGATCCAATGTTATCGAGTCTGTATTTTGCAGGAACTTTAGATGGATCTGCTCAATACTGGCTAGCAATCCTACCCCCAAGAGTATAGGAAGTTTTGAAGAGTGATAACGTCTATTTTATACATATATTCATGGCATTTTCTTATTATTTTATACTATGTTTTTATGCTATTTAGAACAAAAAGGTACTTATAATGCTTAAATTTACATTTTACATGTATAAATTGTTGCCAGAACGGAAAGGAAGCGAAAAGAGTGGAATTGGAGCTGAATTGCACAACGTGAAGAAGTGGCTGAAGAGGCCCATTACGCCCAACGTAATGGGGGAACACCCATCATTCGCGGCTGGGTCGTTAAGTTAAAAAACACGACTTTTATTGCATTACGCCTAGAGTAATTCAATTACACTCAACGTATGGAAGTCGGTTCCAAAATCTATATATTGCGATCTTGGGTGGACCAGAAGAGAGATTACAAATTATATACTTCCTTGATCGATAAGAAACACATCTTTTGCAGTTTTGAGGGTCTAGAAGGCGGCCAGAAGGCTGTTAAGCAGACAGGAGCGGAGATATGAAGGATTAGGGAGCAGATTCATGCCAGAGATCATGTGGTTTGTTGTTCTGACCATGATTAACATCCCACTGTGATTCCATTATGTGTTTACTTTCTGATTTAGGAGTTAAAACATTTTACTTTGTGTTTATGATTTGATGAATCTTTGAGTTTATGGTTAAATTGCTATTTGGATAGTTTATTCTTATTTAATTTATTTTGACGAGTTTGATTGAAAGATCCATATGTGTTAAAGATTATTACTTTCTTCCCTATTGCTGAATTAATAGAGTTTAGATGACCATTCTGATTGTGTTAATTTGAATCATAGTTGACCATGACCATTGGTAATTATGACTAGTGTTGGACTAAAACCTAGGGTTAGGAAATAAAGTGATGAACTTTAATGTGTGTGCATGAGTACATGACCATTCTATGCATGATTTAACTTCTATGACCATTAGGGTTAAATAAGATCAAATCTTGCTTAATATGAATTAAATACTGATTTGCATGATTGTTTGTTCATTTGATGAATGAATTAATAGTTGTGTTAAAATCAAAGGATTAGTAGTCTGACCATGATGCTAGTCATATTAGGAATCGATGAATGATGAATAAATATCATTTGTATTAGTAGTTAGCCATTATTTTGAGATGTAATTTTTCTAAACCAACGTACTTAAACAGATTTGTCTTCAGACAATTTATCACGATTTGCAGTTTAACTGGTTATTTGAGATTTAATTTAATAAACCCCTTTTTACTATTGTTTGTGTGATTTGTGTAACCCATAATCAAGAATTCCAAATTAATTCACCATCGTTTCCCTTGTGTTCGATACCTGGTCTTACCACAACTATATTACTCACGATTTGGTACACTGCCTAGTGTGTTTATTAGTTCCGTTGAGATAGAATCATTTCATAAATTTAAAACTTGAGCAATTAATATATGTGTGTGTGTGTGTATATTATATATATATATATCTATATATATATATATTATATATATATATATATATATATATATATATATATATAAGCACATCAAAATTTTTGGCGCCGTTGCCGGGGAACGGTTTTCAATTGATTTGGTTTATTTGATTATTCGTTATTTGTTTTAATTTTTAGTTTTGTTTATTTTTAATTTCGTTGATAACGTCACTTGTTGGTGGATTTTTGCTATTGTTTAAGTGCAAAATTTAATTATTCAAAATGCCTAATGGTATTTGATTGAAGAAATAATAAAATGCACAAAAAGAAAAAAAATAACTAAATTACGCCCAACGTAATTGTTGGTACGCCCTGCGTTCAAGGATAAGATCGCGACTGAGATTTCTCGGAACACCGAGTATGCCCAGCGTAAATCATCGACACAGGTTTATTTGTTCTTCATCTAATTTATTTTCCTTTTTCACTTATTTTTCAAAACACTATCGCTGTATCGGCTTGTACTTCATAAAAAGTTCTGATTTTTCTTCTTTCTTTTGCTAAACTCGACACTAAGGTATGATTTTATTTAACCCTTTTACTTGAATTTGTGGTTTAATTTCAATTAATTTGCTGCATTGTGCTTAAATTGAAATCAAGGGTTTATACCATTCCTGATTTAGGGTCGATTTTTCATGCAATTGGTGCTTGAAAATGCTTAAATGGACCGATTAAGACCCTAAGAACTTAACCTTTGGATTGATTTTGGCCTGGACCTTGACAAACACCACAACGATTACGCCATGTGAGCGTACGCCCAGCGTACGCAGGACGTACGCCCAGCGTACGCAGGACGTACGCCCAATGTTCGTGCACTGCCCAACTCGAGTTTTTCTTCTTAATCTGTTTAAAATATGGTTTTATGGTGGTTGTTTGTGCTAAATTTTTGCAGAATCATGGCTAGAGGAAATCAAATAAGAAACCAAAATCCACCTCCCGAAGAAATTATTGATCATCAATTTTTGCAATTCCCACGAACTTTAAATAAAGGAAATCGTGAAAGATATCAAGGAAAACTTAGTTTAGTGCTCACCAAGGAGATTGAAATCACGCATTCATTCGATTGGGGTTTGGCATCCCGAACTGGACTTGACGAACTAATATGAAATTTGTTGCAATACACCCACTTGGACGCGAGTGTTGTGCCTTTCTTTGTATGCCGTGGTTGGGAATGATTGTTCAAGATACAGGAAGCTCTTAACGGGAATTTTTGCTGGAGTTTTATTCTACATTTTCCTTTGATCCTAGAGAGAGCCCTTATGACAGGACAACCTTTTCCTTTCGAATTGGTTGAGCAATTAGGGAGTGCAGGGCGATTGAACTTGCCGTGAGAGTGGGAGTTTATACTTTGGATGAGACGAGGAATGTCCACTTTCTGACATTTCTTATTGATTGTGTTACAGGACGGCCTACTGATAACAACGAGATTGTATTTTGGGCTGAGATTACCTGGGGAGTGTATATACCATCAACTGCTCAAGACAAAATGATTCGTTCCACCACTTACAGATTATTACATCTCCTGATTTCTATATCTCTCACACATCACAAGAATAGTGAGAGGGTGCCATCTTCTGATTTGTTTTTCCTATGGACACTTGTTACATGAGGGAGGAACCTGAACCTTCCAATGGATTTAGCCACATATATGGGGCGAAAGGCTAGGGGTCGTCGTGATGATAGCCCAATTTATGGTGGACATTTCATTACACATTTGGGTAGATCTTATTTATTATTGACGAGAGATATTGATGAAGTGTGGAATCAAGTATGAATCAAATTAGAGTAATTAGAATATAGATTGAACACACGATGTAAATATGATCTGGTTTCAGCTCTATTATGCTTTCAATGTTACAGAGAGAAAATAGACAAGTTCATACAAAGACTCTTATCTAACTCTAAGTAATGTTCCTATTTATAGGAAACATGAAAGCACACAAAAAATTACAAGGACTAAACAATACGCTTTGTTACACAAAATGCATTGTAAAATAAACTTATGAATTCGATATATTACAACAGGTCTTCGACACTTACATATATCACAAGGTCGATGGTGTTTTATGACGTGAGGGCGATGAGTTTGCAGTTGATGGAGTCGATGAGGGTACTTATGCATGGTGAGGATGGGATTTTGAGGATACGACTAGATGACGAGGTGTAAGAGGAGGGTCAGCCGAGCCAGAGCCTGAGAGACAAGGGAGGCATAGACCTGCTCCACAGGGAGCCCAGCAGGGACCATAGCCGGAGATCGATATTGGTTACCTATCTCAGCGCGTGGATGTTCTTTCTCATCATGTGGATGACCGATTTGATTACGTTGAGACTAGGCATAATTGGTTTGAGGGGGCATTGAATGGATTCTTTTCTTCACATGGTTATCATCATCCAACTCCCTTTCCTCCACCATATGGACAACGAGGTGATCTGGGACGCAACATCACGACGACGAGGATGATGAGTGACTGAGTTATCCTTCTTATTTTTATTTTATTTTTAGTTTATTTTTGGTTTATTAGACTTAGTTTTATTTTTATTTTGGTGTGTATGTAGTTTTTTTAATTTACGATGTTTTATTTATTTGATGAAATTTTGTTTTCCATGTTGATGCTCTTTGATATTTTAGATTTTTGCAGAATTTTTGCCCTTAGAAAGCTGACAGTAAGTTCAGACGCTAGGAACGAATGCTACTTTATCACGAGAGGAAAAAGTCGATTTCGTGAGAGATTATTTTTTGAAGAGTGACGTTTCTAACTACACATTGATTCCTATGACATGGATGAGTTGTTCCCACACCATTAAGTTTTATTTCAACACGACTAAGAAGTATCGTCCCAGCTACTACGACATGGATGACACCTTCCTATGTCGTGGGGCAGTTTTTCATTATGAAAAGAAGCTGCGATTCTATAAACCACGACGTGGTCGACATTTACCATGTCGTGGCGATGTTATTA